GCAATAACAAACTGGTCCAACAAATCTCGAAACACATCATTTATGAAGTGCTGAAAAGTCGCGGGAGCATTACATAGGCCAAAAGGCATAACTAGGGACTCAAAGTGTCCATATCTGGTTCTAAAGGCAGTCTTCCATTCGTCGCCTTGACGCATGCGTACCAGGTTATATGCCCCCCGTAAGTCAAGTTTTGTGAAGACTTTGGCAGAGCGGAGTCTTTCCAACATCTCTGCGATTAAAGGGAGTGGGTAACGGTTTTTAACAGTGATTTTATTCAAGCCCCTAAAATCAATGCATGGACGCAAGGTGGAGTCCTTTTTCTCAACAAAGAACAGGGCTGCTCCTGCAGGAGATGTTGAGGGTCTGATAAAGCCCTTCTCCAAATTCTCATCAAGCCACTCCCTTAGCACCTTTAACTCAGGTTCTGATAAATTGAAAATGCGGCTGAATGGTATTTCTGCTCCTGGAAGCAGTTCAATGGGACAATCATATGGACGATGAGGAGGTAGTTGATCCGCATTTTTCTTATCACAGACGTCTCGAAACTCATGGTATTGTGGAGGCAGATTGTCATATGACTGTGTAGTTACCATATCAGCCTGTGATTTCCTGATTGGTAGACAACTTGTAGCACATGGTTTCCTACAATGTTCCTCACAATGGGGGGATGTAAAATTTATGGTCCGTGCTCCCCAGTTGATGAAGGGATTATGGGTAGTAAACCAAGGGATGCCCAGGATGACAGGAAATTTAGGTGATGTAATCAGCTGAAAGCTGATGGTCTCAAAATGGTCAGCCTGAAATTGGAGTACTAGAGGAACTGTTTCATGAGTAACTGGTCCTGATGATAAAGGTGAACCATCAACTGTCTCCATATCAATAGGGGCAGATTTGTTTCTCCTGAGAATATTATTATTGTGGGCAAACTCTATGTCCATAAAGTTTCCCCCAGCCCCAGAGTCCAGCATAGCAGAACAAGGAATTTCATGGCCCTCAGTAAAAAGTTTGATAGGGACAACAAAATGAGACTGTTTAGGACCAACTTTATTTTCTTCATCGATCAATGGGGAGATAGACTGGGTAATTGAATTTATGCGTTCAGGCAGGATAACATCAGTCGCAGCAATTGTTCTTTTGACTTTATTAGGACAATTGACTGCGTAATGCCCAGAGTCCCCACAGTATAAACATAAATTCTCCAAACGTCTTCTCTCTTCTCTTGAGTAGAAATTGATCTTTTAACAGTATCTACTTGCATAGGTTCAGGTGTGTTATAATCTGAAGAAATGTTTAAATCCTTCTGACTGAACTGATTAGCAGAAAAACGCATGCCACCATTACTTCCCAATCTCTCCTTTCTGTCAGTCTCTGGTCAATCCGAATGCATAATTGGATGAACTCCTCAAGATCGTTAGGAGTCTCTACTCTGGCGAGCTCATCCTTCACCTGTTCAGAGAGCCCCTGCCGGAACTGACTCTTTTGCGCTGCTGGGTTCCAGGTGGTGTCTGAGATCCAGCGTCGAAATTCAGTTGTATACTCCGCAACAGGGCGTCTACCCTGCCTCAAACTATGCAGCTTTGCTTCAGCGGTAGCGCAGCGGTTGGGATCATCAAAGACCTGGTTCATTGCAGTCACAAAAGTCGCAAAACTGTTTAACATTGCATTGTTTTGCTCTATATAGGGAGAGGCCCAAGCTAGGGCTTCCTCAGTCAGGAGGTTTATAACAAACAATACCTTCTGCCTCTCAGTATTAAATGCAGCAGGTTGCATCTGGAAATAAATGCGGCATTGGTTAAGGAAACCCCTGTAGTGGCGGCGGTCTCCATTGAACTTGAGTGGCAGAGGCATGCGTGTATTAGCAACATCGGGCGGGAGCACATGTCCAGCAATCGTGTCTGCAGAGCATGGATCTCTTCCTGTTGCCCCTCTACTACACTTTGCAGTTCAGCAAATTTCTTTTGGTAGGTAACACCAAACTCTTGTAGCTCTGAAATTTGCTGCCTGACAGGAGCCATGGCATTTGCTATAGCGGCCTCCATGTGTGGGCCAGATTATTCTGTCACGGTGTAAGGTCAGGTTCAGAGACCAGTTGCTATAGCAGTAAAAGGCTTACCTGGAACCAGCAGGATAGGTACACCAGCGGATCCCCCTGGGAATGACGCAGGCTCACCTGAGGTGCGGGGTCTAAGTATTAACCGGTATTCACCAGAGCTCCTAATGGTGGAGATGGATTGGGCTGCGTGTTAATACCAGGTCGCAGATCTCAGGATCACCCCACCAGGGAATGAGCAGACTGGGAACCAATAGCGGATCAACAGGTTAGGGATCAGACGAAAGCAGAGTCGGTCACAAGCCAAGGGTCGGTCACAACAAATGGTAGCAGATCAATCGTGGTCAGGAACAAGCCAAAGGTCAGTAGCGGAGGTGTAGACAGCAGCAGGAACAGTAGCAGGATATTGGCTGGAAAGGCACAATAATCTGGCAAGGAGGAAGTCCAAGGACATGGCTTATATAGGAAGTTCATGGGAGGAGCAAGGAGTTCAAGGTTCAAGAGCAAACAAGGCACAAGGCAGGATTATCCAATAGATGAGGCAAAGTGTTGTCCAGCATCCTAGGTAGCTCAATGAGTAGAGTTACTGCCTGACACAGTAGAAGTCCCAGGTTCAAGTCCAGGCCCTGAGTGAGATTTTGAGCAACAACCTCCTTCCCTCAGTCAGAGCATTGAAGATGGGTCGTGGCTGGGTCTTCCAACATGACAACGACCCGAAGCACACAGCCAGGATAACCAAGGAGTGGCTCCGTAAGAAGCATATCAAGGTTCTGGAGTGGCCTAGCCAGTCTCCAGACCTAAATTCAATAGAACATCTTTGGAGGGAGCTGAAACTCTGTGTTGCTCAGCGACAGCCCCGAAACCTGACAGATCTAGAGGAGATCTGTGTCGAGGAGTGGGCCAAAATCCCTGTTGCAGTGTGTGCAAACCTGGTCAAGAACTACAGGAAACGTTTGACCTCTGTAATTGCAAACAAAGGCTTCTGTACCAAATATTAACACTGATTTTCTCAGGTGTTCAAATACTTATGTTCAGCAGTGCAAGACAAATACATTCTTTAAAAATCATACAATGTGATTTCCTGATTTTTTTTTTTAAATTCTGTCTCTCAGAGTGGGAATGCACCTACAATGTGAATTTCAGACCCCTCCATGATTTCTAAGTGGGAGAACTTGCAAAATCGCAGGGTGTTCAAATACTTCTGTTCCTCACTGTATATCTATAAAGCTTGTCCGAGAACAAAAGGAACAGAGCTGAAATTACACACTGCAGAGCTCAGTGAGGAGATTTCTGAGAGCTGATTGGAGGCAAGAGACACCCCCCCCCCCTTCACACAGCTCACAGGAACAGAGCTGAGGCTATCAATCTGCTGAAGGTCCCCTGTTACCATTTTTCTCTCCATGTAAAGAAAACGTGTCAGAACTGACTCATGCTGATAGCAGAGGAACAGGGCAGCAGACAGAAATTACACTTAGTGCTCCTAATTGAGAAAGTACACACTATAAATGGATATGCTTTGTTTATATTTGACTTTAAAGCACCCATATATCTGAAGATTATCTGTTGAGTTTTTCAGACAAAAACACCCAATCAGAAATGTCTGACTTCCCTTTCTCCCTACAAGGGAGCTACTGTAGAATATTTCATTGATATAGGGCCACGCTATCTCCGGGCGCACGTAATGAACCTGTTTGGCGATGCCTTTAATTATTGCACTTCATTGTTTTTTCCAGTAATTGGATTTAGTTTTATAGTACCACCTTCTTCATATAGACATTTGACATGATGGTTATTTTTGGATATTTCTTGTATCCAGTCTATGGGCTGAAATCTGCATTTGTACCTGTAACCTTGTATGTTGTCTATTATGGATACTGCCTTGTTATAATAAAATTAAATTTGAAAAAAAAGAAATGTCTTGACTGTCTTGAACTTCCAAAAACTAAAATCTGACTAAACAGCTAGCTGCCAGTTCAAAGTATGTAATTATACTGAAGCCTGAAGTCTGGTACATAATAACAGATACCAGGGTGGATAAAAATCGATGATTTAAAAAAAAAAAAAAAAATCAAAGAAATCAGATTTTTTCAATTTAAATCGGATTTTTTTTTATTTTTAGCAAATTTATTTTAATAAAATACTTTTGGAGTAAAAATCTATCTAAAGATAGTTTTCTATTTAAGATACATTAATAATTTAGTTTATTTAGCATGAAATGGAGCTTGGTTATGTAGCATGAGGCTGTATATTCTGCAATATTTTAATTTTTGGTAAACTCATTCAATGAATCCAAGCTCTGCAAGCTGAGATAACATGCACTGCATTGATGCATTCACACAATATCACAGTAACCATGAGAAAAAACATGAAATAAAAGAATTTGAGTAGTTCTCCAGTTATGTGTGATTAACCTATGATATCGCTGTTTTACTAACCTGACCACTTATTATTCTAAAAAAGAAACCTTCATTTGGTTTGCAAATATTAAAGATTTGAAATACCAGCAAGAATGAGTCAGATTCCTTACATTTAAAGAGTACCTGTCATTTTAGATCCATCATGGTAGCACCTGTTAGAGGGCATCCACTCACCTGCTGCCGCCACCTCCCTCACCTTGTTGTGTCACTGCCGCATGATGACCAGCTGTCCCATTAAAGTGAATGGGACTGTCAGGGAGTCAACAGCGGGTCAGAAGAGGAGCCGCTGCGGGACAGAGATGACAGTTGCTCTTTAAAAATTCTGATTTAAATCAAACCTTTTCACTAGTGATTTAAATCGTGATTTAAATCAGCTTGATTTAAACCAAATCCACCCTGACCATTTCCATTTTTCATTGCTACAGTTTTAATTTTTAATTATAGTTATAATTTTGAAAACAAATATAACTATTATATTTCTGGAAAAAAAAATCTTTTAACTGATAATAATGATATCTAGATTTCTTTTTACAGATTGGAGACCTGCAGTGTACTTGGCTGTCCTAGACTGTGGAAATGAGGACAACTCTTTAGTCTGTAAGGAGTTTGAAATACAAGGATTTCCCACCTTGAAGGTAGCTGATACTTTTATAAATCATTTTTTAAATTTTTTTCTTCCCTATTCAGCAAACAATAATATCCAATCAGGTATTATTTTTCATTATCTTAGGTGATTGTAGCCGTATTAGTGCAAATGAGTACTGTCTGTGATACTTTTTCTATTTGCACTAACATACAATTTTCAGGACAAGCTTTTGGGGTAAGTCCCCTTCTTCACGGTCCAAGTAGTACTGCTTGAACCTTGAAGAAGGGGACATACCCCAAAAGCTTGTCCTGAAAATTGTATGTTAGTGCAAATACAAAAAGTATCACAGACTGTACTCAATTGTCATTATCTTAGAACATTCAGTGACAGATGATGGCTGATTGGTTGTTATGGGTTATGCTGGCTATACACACTTCAAATGTGGCTGATTCCTGTTGAACCAGCTGCAATCCAAGCTGTAGGTAACCCTGTTAGCACCACCGGATCTGACAAACGTCAGTGTGAAAATGGAAGGAGCTGGGCAAAATCTTCATGGCTGACAGTCACTGTTTGGGTAGTCTGACAGCCATAGGAGCAGCAGCTGTCAGAATACAATAGCTGGCAATGGGAGATTTCCGCCATCCATGCTTTTTAGGGTGGATGGGGGATCAATTGATTTTTCTTATTCAAAAGGTGTGATTAAAGGAGAGAAATTATAACATGTATCGCTAGCCTTACTGCAGATCTCCCTTTACTTTGTCTGATTTGAACTCCAGATATATATAAATTGCAGCAACATATTCATTACAAAACCCTTACATGTCTTTAGTTGAAGAAAACTCACATAAGCACCTAAATTTGACATGGCATCAGTCTCTTGCAGACTAAGCCCCAGTTCACACCAAACACGGCTTTAAAAGTGCGCTATTGCAGCTGAAATAGTGCGATTTCATGTGTGGCTTGCTGACATCTGTGCGTCTTGATGCACAGATGTCAATGCAAGTCACACATGAAATCACCAAAAATAGGACAGGAAACTTTTTCAAAATCAGTGCAAAGTCGGAGTCACACCATTTTGAACGATTCCATAGGCACAAATAGGGTGTGACTTGTCATGTGATTTGAACTGTCAAATTGCATGATAAATCACATTGGTGGCTAAGAAACAAAGGGGGGCAGGACTGGGAGCCAATGAAGTATGCTGCATGCAAATGTTTACAAGCAATGTTCTGATTGGCAAAAATAGGTGCAGAATGATGACTTCATCAGATCTGCTGCTGATCTGCGTCAGACAGTGGTATCTCTTAATTGTAAGTGGGGACATCCACCAGTCAATACTGAGGCTTTACAAATCTCAGGAATGAATGGACAGGAAAACCAATCTTTGGCAGAAAAAAAACCTTAAATGTATATCATCTGTGGATTTGCCTGGAATTTAGCTTATAAACCTCGTGTACTAAAACATTTGACATTTAAAGGACAGCCATGCTTTTGAATCAAAACCAGTACTGAATGAGATAGATGCAGGTTACAGCATCCAATGTTCTTGTAAAAAGGAGAGATTCACTAGAGAGATTTCCTGTCCCGCTGATATACTCCCTGACACACAGGGTGTCAATGGGGCAGTAATGACAACACGTACAGCAATAAAAGTCAACAGATGTACTAATCCTTCCCCATGCTTTCCAAAAAAAAGTAAAAAAAAAAAAGGTTGGTGGGCACAGTGGGATGAAATATTTTGTTGGTCTGGCTTAAACTGGCCATACAGTATTTGATTTTCATCCAGTCTTTAGCACCAGTGGCTGTCAGAATACCCTGACAGTGGCTGCTTCTGATTGGATGTAGCTGGCAATCAATTTTTGTCTGGCTACTTCCATCTTTCAGTTGAAGGATCCTGGACAGGGCTACCCAAGGAGTGGATTTCGACGGGTTCATCGGGAACTGGAAGAAATTCACATAGTGTTTGGCCAGCCTTAGATAGTCAGATAATTTGCATACCAGCTCTTGAAACTTCATAAAGTGTTAACAGATTGTAATTAGCAATGTAAGGCTCCATGCACACTGGCTAAAAAAAAACACTGCTCCTAGAGGAGTTTAGCGTTTTGCCTGTAGAAGCAACTAATGGTATCCTGTGTGTCCATGCTCATAGTCTAAAGGCATTTTTTAATCTCAGTGTTTATAGAGGCAGGAAAAAAAAACCCATCTGTTTTGCCTCTTTTGAGAGATTTTTTTCTGGCAGAAAAAAATGCTAAACGCTAGTATAAAAAAAAGCTCAAAATTAGCATTTCTTTCCGACAACAGAACTGGTATTTATTTTTAAGCATTTTGTTGCAAAATTCTTCTCACATAGATAATACTTCAGCTTTTTATTTACAGTATAATTAAATTGTTTAATATATAAATTCCTTTTTGGCTTTGGCCTTTATAATGTATATTGTTTTTCTCTCCTCAGTTCTTCCATGCATATACAAAACAGAAGTCAGATGCCATCCGATTTCTATGTATGTGAGCAGTTTCCTCTCTCTGTTTTTTTTATCACTGATCTTTCTTTTTTAATCTTTTTTAATTTAGTGGGCGAGGGAAAACATTGGCTCCTCATTTTATTTTCTCTAGTAATCTCAGTATTTAGCTTTTATGTTTGCCTAAAATCTTACTGTAATTACTATTACATAGTTACATGTCAGGTTGAGAAAAGACGCAAGTCCTTCAGGTTCAACCAATAAAAGATTCCATATACAGAACCCTCTGCGTATGCTTGATCCAGAGGAAGCTAAACTTAACCCTTATATGGCATGGTCCAATTTGCTCCAACAGGGGATACATGTCTCCCTGATCCCCTAGGGTAGGGGTCTTGAAACCGCAGCCCGTGGGACAGATGCAGCCCTTTGCTTGCCTTTATCTGGCCCTTGGGGAACTATTCCTCCCACTGACACCAATAATGAGGCACCATTCCTTCCACTGACTCCAACAGTGGGAAATAATTCCTCCCACTGACACTGACTATGAGGCACTTTTCCTACCACTAACATCAGTGATGGGGTACTATTCCTTCTACTGACACCAACAATGGGGCACTATTCATTCCATCAGCACCTTCAGTGGGGCCTTATTCCTTCCACTGACACCAAAAATAAGGTGCTATTCATTCCAATAACACCAACAATAGCATTGGCTATGAATAAGGGTTTTCACCGAAACGCATCAGATGCTGTAACATGCACACTGTACCCCTTATGAATAAAGTACTTTTATCAGGAGAATGAGTTGCCAGCTCTTCATCTTATATTCCTATGCTGTTCAAAGTGCCAGGAAGAAACTGTGAGCTTTGGAGCACCATTGGTCTACCTCCAGGGGAATTCTTCCTAGGTGTACATTTTTGTCTGTGAACACCAACCAAAGGGCATGATTCCTCCCACTAATATAAAATGATTGAACACTATTTCTCCCACTGATATCAATAATGGGGCACTATTTCTCCCACAGACACAAATGTTAGGCACTTTTCCTCCCACTGACACCAATGATGGGGCATTATTCCTTCCACTAACACCAGTGATGAAGTACTATTTTCCCCAATAATACCAATGATGGGGCACCATTCCTCCTCCTACTGACCACAGGTGCTAGGTCTTTTTTTACTCCCACTGACCACCAAGCCTGATGCTGGAGCATTTTTTACTCCCGTTGGCCACAGTCTGGCCCCTCTAAAGTCTAAAGGACAGTTATCTGGCCCCTTGCTTGGATATTTTGGAGACCCCTGCCCTAGGCAATCAGATTTTCCCCTGATCAGCACTCTCTGGTGTTATTGATCCTTGTCTGGTCATACTTAGTGTGTTTTTTAAAATATAATATATAAATAAAATATAATATAGTAATCCAGTACAGGAAACAAAGCATGAACTCTTGCCATACGCAGAAGCTATTTTGTGGCAATTTTAGCCAACTTTGGACTTCAAAATGAATTAGGGCAGTCTATATCCCAACAATATGAATCTATGTGACGTTCTACATCGTTCTTTTCAGTGGCCTAAACATTTTGAAATTGCTTGAAACTTACCCTGTGAATCAACATTAGAAGTGTGATGTTCCATAGTAACCAGTGGAAATTCATTTTGTATGGCCTTTACTTCAAAAGTGTGAATTCTCGTTGGCTTCTCGTTGGCTGCAAAGAGTTAGCAGATTTTGCACCCTTGTGTTTATTTCCTTGCACTGTTTGTTGAATATGCCACCATATAGCTACAAAATACAAACATTTACATGACCTAGAGGCGTATTTGTAAAGAGCTGATCATTCGATTAGCTGGCCATTCACTTTTTTTATCACCACTGAATGTCTGTTGGAGGGGTCACATTTATTAAGACATTCATTGTCTATTCTCACCTGCAAGTTCAATGTGAAGATTTTTTTAAGTATTTGCCATTGCTTGCCCAACATCTGCATATTTCTGTTCTTCAATTGGAATTTGAATACAAATCTGAGAGGTGCCAATCCTTCCCCTCTATATCCAAAACCTAATGTTTGGAGTCTTAGCTTAAAGTGGACCTTGCATTACAAAACAAAACCAGTTAATGGCCTCGTGCACACAGGCGTATGGCATATAATAATATAATACTCCTATGTATGCTAGATATTTCTGTTAGGAGCTAGCAGAAAAATCCAGCTGAAAAAATGCTTGCTTTGGCACAAAATTTCTTGCACTCTTAATAACAAGGCACTGAAGTCACAGTATAAATATACTCAACTTGTAGATAGGGGCGGACTGACCATTTGGAAACTTGGGCACTGCCCGAGGGCCCGGGGTCAGTAGGGGGCCCCATGAGATGCCCCTGGTACCTTTTTCATAGGCATTTTTGAGTTTGAGCAAGGACACAGGGGCCCCATAATCCCCTATTGCCCGGGGGCCCCATGAGTTGTCAGTCCGCCCCTGCTTGTAGACAAATATGATTCTGTGTAAATATGTCAACATATATTCATAAATAGATATTATAAATTCAAGCGCTACAGTAAAATTACTGCAATGTCCATAAAAGTATAAAAAGTACTTAAGAGTGCAATCTTGAAGAAAAAACATTTGTTTGGTGCTGGTATTCCTTCACCATACAGTAGCCATGTTTCACCCAGCGAAAAGGCAATACTTAAATCACTCAACAGACCAATATGACCGCTTTAATTAAAAGGAAGGTCTCATGCACTTGTTTACCCAATCAGAGTATGGAAATTGCCAGCTGGTGTGGAAATTCAAAACTTGACTTCTCATTCACGCCATCATCCCACACAGGAATCAGAGGATAGAAATGGTAATATAGTGTAGTATGTTTATTAATGTAATAAATGTAATAAAAATACAGTAATAAATAGTGCTCACATTTATATAGTATGTGACTCCACATCGGCACAAATGTATGTTTGGGGGCATTTCAGGAGCATTAAAAACGCTTCTTGAACGCTTGTCTAACGCCTGTCAAACGCTATAGGGGCGTTTGGCAAGAGTTAGAAATAAAGTCAAGTGTGAACAAGCCCTAAGGAAAAAGAGTTACCCTACTTCTGTCTTTCACTTCTGTGAGAGTCACAGCACCATCCTTCCAGGGGACATGTGTTTTTTTCACAGTGACATATTTTATGTATTGTTTGTATGCTTTTGTTGCATTTTGCTGTATGGGTTTTAATATGTAAAGATTTCAGTCTGCTAGTTGTATAGTACAGTATGTAGGCAAAATTTGGTTTTAGGTCTCTTACACATTGATCCCTAAAAATGCAATATTTGTAGGCATACAAGTGGGGGTTTTTTACTGATGTAAATGCAGTCCACTGCTCCTAATGTGCCTGTACGCACAGGCCTTTAAACATGCGCTGCTTATAGATCAGTAAAAAAAAATAATCTGCATTGCTGGAGAGTGTTTTGGCTGTTTTTGTGTGAAATATGTACATATGTACGACACATCCCAACAAAAGCTAGAATCATTTTTATGTGTGTGTGAGCAAAAACATGCAAAATATGCATATTTACTATACTGCCCATCTCATGCTTTTATGAAGGAATTTTCTGCCAGGAATCATTTATTTATTTCAGGTACAGGCACAGGGAGAACATGCAAACTCCAGGCAGGTGGTGCTATGGTTGGGATGCGAACCAATGACCCTAGTACTGCCAGGCGGAAGTGCTAACCATTTAGCCACTGTGCTGCCCATAGTATGGTGTGCAAGTACCCTTACTGTATCACCACTTATCCTTTTAGAGCAGGGTTTCTCATCCAGGGTCCCATGGAACCCTAGGGTTCCTCCAGAGGTTACCAGTGGGTTCTTGAGCAATTTCTAAATCTCAGATAAGTTCTCACTGACGCCATTAGTCTTCTGTAAGTTATCTGTTAGCTAACTGTAAGTGGGTAATTCTTCCCAATGACCACAGGGGGTCCTGTTAGAGAAATGGATGCAGATATTGCTGAATTCCCAATGACCACAGGGGTTCCTGTTAGAGAAATGGATGCAGATATTGCTGAAATCCCAATGACCACAGGGGTTCCTCTGTTAGAGAAATGGATGCAGATATTGCTGAATTTCCAATGTTCCTCTGTTAGAGAAATGGATGCAGATATTGCTGAATTCCCAATGACCACAGGGGTTCCTCTGTTGGATAAATGGATGCATATATTGCTGAATTCCCAATGACCACAGGGGTTCCTCTGTTAGAGAAATGGATGCAGATATTGCTGAATTCCCAATGACCACAGGGGTTCCTCTGTCAGAGAAATGGATGCAGATATTGCTGAATTCCCAATGACCACAGGGGTTCCTCTGTTGGATAAATGGATGCATATATTGCTGAATTCCCAATGACCACAGGGGTTCCTCTGTTAGAGAAATGGATGCAGATATTGCTGAATTCCCAATGACCACAGGGGTTCCTCTGTTAGAGAAATGGATGCAGATATTGCTGAATTCCCAATGACCACAGGGGTTCCTCTGTTGGATAAATGGATGCAGATATTGCTGAATTCCCAAAGACCACAGGGGTTCCTCTGTTGGATAAATGGATGCAGATATTGCTGAATTCCCAATGACCACAGGGGTTCCTCTGTTGGATAAATGGATGCATATATTGCTGAATTCCCAATGACTACAGGGGTTCCTCTGTTAGAGAAATGGATGCAGATATTGCTGAATTCCCAATGACCACAGGGGTTCCTCTGTTAGAGAAATGAGGGCAGATATTGCTGAATTCCCAATGACCACAGGGGTTCCTCTGTTAGAGAAATGAGGGCAGATATTGCTGAATTCCCAAAGACCACAGGGGTTCCTCTGTGTTGAAAAGGTTGGAAAGGCTGCTTTGGGCACTAAAAGCACATGTTGACACAGTTAACTTCATGCAGTTCATATTTTCTGTAGCACACTACCATGCAGAGAAAGATTGGGGTGGACTTGACTGACTTCCACAAAAGCCTTTGCTGGCTGTGTTGTGCTGCTGTAAAGCGCTTGGATGTGAACAAGTGGAGTTGCTTCTGTAAAGCCATTTAGTAAGAACTCCTTAAATTACAAGTGACAAGTGAATACAAATTTGGTAAGAAGCCAGTTCAGACTTCTAATAAACACTTGGCACTGGAATCACAGCTATTTTCTGAAACTCAGCAAAATGATTTATATTCCTTCTAAAATGCTACAAAATATTTGTACTAGTAATTATTAAACACATATCTATTCTAAAGATCTAGTCTTATTTAATACTGCTTATTCTGTAGGGCTTGGGGGGGGGGGCAGGAAAATGCCAAATGTTATGTAGACAACTGTTTTACTGTTTGCACCATATTTCTGCAGCTCGGGATTCGGAATCCATAAAAAAAATTCATCATTGACAGATTGGAAGCAAGGAAGGAGTCTCCACCCCCTGCATGTCCACCACTAGAACCAATCAGGTACGCCTAAGGAATGGGAACAAACTTAAAGTAAACCTGTCATTAGAGAAATGGATGCAGCCATTGCTGAATTCCTTCTGAAAGTACTAAATGTCCTTATTTTCCTGGCTGCAGCATTGGTAGCATGATCTTCAGTTAAAGTATATATAAACCCTAGCTGAATGGCATTCAGATGATTTACTTAAGGCAAATAGGCTGTGCACTTTGTAAGTGCAGTTGCAGTCTGCGAGGGCATTTGCTCCAGAGCTTAGTAAATGAGGGGAAGCCCTCCTGACTTCCATCACCCAATCATATGCAGGCAAAAATTATATTTTTTTTTTATTTTCATTGCATGTGATTCTTTGCAAAATGAAGCTTTCATCTCAATTACTAAGCTCTGGAGCAACTGTTTTTTGCAGAGCTCAACTGCACTTGTAAAGTGCATAGTCTATTTGCCTTTTTAATATATTTCATATGTTCCTTAATAATAAACTGCTTTTTACCTTCTTTCTTCCTTTGTGGCATCCCATTCCTGTTGATCTTCTGCAACCTCTTGCTGTCTACATACATATACTCCACTGATGGCTACATGACATTTCTTAGGTCAGGTTTTTTGATGGTGACAACATTGGACCATAGTTGTGTCATTTGTGCACATGTAGTTTCCATCAGAAGCCAGTGTGACAGGGTGACAACGCAGGAACACAATGAGGAGACCGCGTGTTGTCAGTCTGTCTATAACAGTCTATAACCTGAGCAAGGACCTTCATGGCAGGATCACCAAGTATTACTGCTGCAGATATAAAAAATATTGAAAACTGCTTTTGAAATGACAGTAACATGTTACACCTTACATGAGATATCAGTTATTGGGATTACATCTATTGTAAACATTTTATTCAACATTTTTAAATGACGATGAATTGATTAGATGACACTGATATGATCGATAACATTGTCTCTTCCAGTGCCGCTGAGATTGATCAATTTTTCCAGAACAATGATGAGACCTATCTAGTTTTGATATTTGAACTTCCTGAAATGTATATGGCAAGAGAGGTAAGAATGAAGTGTTAAGGTGAACTTGTCATTAACCAGTCACACCCGATCCACAGCATGCACATACAGACTTACCTCTTGATGTTATAAAGTATTTTCAGTGTGATGTTAAAGCATGTATTTATGGAAATAGTGACCTCCAGGTAAGTCAATGAGTCGGCTACTGCTTCCCTTCTAAAAGTTACCTACCACCACTGCTGACATTTACCCCATTAAATCTTGCTTGACGCTGTGGTGTTTAGTGCTTGGTGGCCATGTCTGACTCCTGCAGACCACCCTGCAAATGGAAGGTTTAACAGGTTATATTGAGAAGAATGGCTGAAATTATTATTATTATACAGTATTTATATAGCGCCAAAGGGTATGCTCAGCGCTGTACAGTAGCAAGGGGGACATAACATGAGACAAGACAGTAACAGTACAATACACGAGGGGTTCGAGGGCCCTGCTCTTTCGAGCTTACAATCTAGGAGGGAGGGGAAGGTGGTACAGGAGGAAATGGCTGTGGGGAATGGAATGGTGGGTGGAATGAAGGAGGTTGGTTGTGAGGTGAGGTCCGGTGTTAGGAGAGGTTGGGGTAGGCTTCCCTGAAGAGGAGGGTTTTCAGGGTGCGCCTGAAGGTGAGGAGGGTAGGTGACATTCTGATGGATTGGAGTAGGGAGTTCCAGAGGATGGGGGAAGTCCTAGAGAAGTCCTGCAATCGGGCGTGGGAGGAGGAGACCAGGGAGCTAGAGAGCAGGAGGTCCTGTGAGAAGCGGAGGGCACGGGTAGGGTAGTATCTGGGTATCAGGTCAGTTATGTAGTTCGGGGCGGCATTGTGAATGGCAAATCACACTTTGGGGGATAAAGATAGGGATGTTCAGGACAAAGAAATACATTCCCTTTAATTCCACTGCAGCAGCTGCTTATACTTACCTTCTCTTTGCTCCCCTGCTGCTCCATCCATCCAGGGAAACAAGATGACATATTTGAACTTCTAGGTATGGGGAACCATGTGATATGTAATGATCAGCGATTGGCTGATGAAACACCCAGTGCTGTCACATGGGATCAAGGAAAGAGCCATCAGCCCTGTGTAAGCACTAAGTTGCAAATTAGAGTTTAGATAGAGCTTACTTTCCTCGCTCCTACAGATGAATGGAGCATTGGGGAAGCAAAGAAAAAAGAAGTACAATCAGCTGATTGGGCTGCTATTAAAGTGAATATGTTATTTTCTCTGCATAGGCAAATACAGGTTTATTTTATGCCCTAGCCCACTTAAAGTACTATCTCCCTCCCAGAAACAGGAGCACTTTGACATGCAGCAGTTCACTAATATAAAATTAATAACAATGTTAGGTTTGTCAATGTCCAGATAGTTATCTCCGAATTTACATTTCTCTATGCTATGAAATTGGAAATGTAAATAGAAGATATCGTTGCTGCTGATTTTAATACTGATTAAAACAGGATGTAGTGAAATGCAGCTTGGTACAGATGCAAGAACAAACTGACTGCCCTCTAATGCTAGCCTTAAAGCAGAACTCCAAGAACAAAAAAAACTTTTAAATATATTCCCCAAGAGCCACGGAAGACATAAATCAACTTTTTGTGCACAGAATACCTTTACAAACCCAGATATTACATTGTAAATGTAATGCTAACATCATTATATTTTTGCATATAGCTGTGTAGAGAACAGAGTTGTAGGAGGTACCCAGCAGATCCATCCACCAGGGCCAGATCTAGCCTGTCTAATGTAGGTATGCAGTAAAAAAATACCAGGTGGGCAGAGGATAAGGTCATCAGTTTTTAGGGCAGTGAACAAAGGCCATTAACTTATAGGACAGTGTACAGGGGTCTGCAGAGCAAAGAACGGGGGTCAGCAGAGAGGAGGACAAGAGTTACTGCTGGCAGGGCAGAAGATAGGAGTCACTGTTGGCAAGGCAAGGGGTAGGAATCACTGCTGGCAAGGCAAAGGACAAGAGTTGCTGCTGGCAGGGAAGACGAGAGTAGTCACTTCTAGGAAAACTCAGCAGAGGACAAGGGTCACTGCTTGGAAAACTCAGCAGAGGACAGGGGTCACTGCTAGGAAAACTCAGCACAGAACAGGGTCACTGCTAGGAAAACTCAGCACAGGACAGGGGTCACTGCTAGGAAAACTCAGCACAGGACAGGGGTCACTGCTAGGAAAACTCAGCAGAGGACAGGGGTCACTGCTAGGAAAACTCAGCAGAGGATAGGGGTCACTGCTAGGAAAACTCAGCAGAGGACAGGGGTCACTGCTAGGAAAACTCAGCAGAGGATAGGGGTCACTGCTAGGAAAACTCAGCACAAGACAGGGGTCACTGCTAGGAAAACTCAGCAGAGGACAGGGGTCACTGCTAGGAAAACTCAGCAGAGGATAGGGGTCACTGCTAGGAAAACTCAGCACAGGACAGGGGTCACTGCTAGGAAAACTCAGCACAGGACAGGGGTCACTGCTAGGAAAACTCAGCAGAGGACAGGGGTCACTGCTAGGAAAACTCAGCAGAGGATAGGGGTCACTGCTAGGAAAACTCAGCAGAGGACAGGGGTCACTGCTAGGAAAACTCAGCACAAGACAGGGGTCACTGCTAGGAAAACTCAGCAGAGGACAGGGGTCACTGCTAGGAAAACTCAGCAGAGGACAGGGGTCACTGCTAGGAAAACTCAGCAGAGGACAGGGGTCACTGCTAGGAAAACTCAGCAGAGGACAGGGGTCACTGCTGGCAGGGCACTTAGTACAGCCTGGGCACAGGCAGAAAATAATCTCCTTGCCACACACTACACATAGCTGAGATTGGATTCCCTTACACACAGCCATGATCTGCACAGTGTGTAGCTGGCTACTGCAGCTGTGCTACTATTCTGACTAGGGAATTTCCCAGGTCAGAACTGTGATACACACTTTTGCAGATTGTGGTTGTGTGTAAGGGAACCTGATCCCAGCTATGTGCTGTGTGGATTGCAGAAGCTCTGCTGCCTTTGCACAGGCTGAGTGCAGTTCAGAAATAGGAGGAGTTCAGCATAGTTACCAACATTTTAAAGACATTTTCAGGTTCACTTTTTTTTGCCGTTGCGTCCAGAAAGCAATTGTAGATGGAGAATGTACGTTCATTAGGGATGGGGCATTCATTTAAAACAGTCATGGTTTTGAAAGCAGCATATCATTAACTTAATGCCATACTTTAATCAAACATATGTAAGAGAGCTGTGGTTATGCTAGTGCAGTATAGTGACAGGCTAGAGCAGTATAATGGCATGCTGGGGCAGCACAGTGGCAATATAGTGGCTGGCTGGGGCAGTATAGTGGCGGGCTGGATCAGTATAAAGGCAGTAGGACAATATAGTGGCAGGTTGTGGCAGTATGGCGGCAGGTTAGGACAGTATATTTGCAGGTAAAAGTAATATAGTGGCAGGTTAGAGCAGTATAGTGGCAGGCTGGAGCAGTACAGTAGTAGGTTAGAGCAGTATTGTAGCAGGCTGGGCCAGTACAGTGGCAGTATAGTGGCAGGCTGGGCCAGTATAGTGGCAGGCTGGGGCAGCACAGTGGCAGTATAGCGGCAGCCTAAAGCAGTATAGTGGCAGGCTAGGGCAGTATAGTGGCAGGCTAGGGCAGTATAGTGGCAGGATGGGGCAGTATAGTGGCAGGATGGGGCAGTATAGTGGCAGGCTAGGGCAGTATAGTGGCAGGCTAGGGCAGTATAGTGGCAGGATGGGGCAGTATAGTGGCAGGATGGGGCAGTATAGTGGCAGGCTAGTGCAGTACAGTGGCAGTATAGTGGCAGGCTGGGGCAGTAAAGTGGCAGGCTAGGGCAGTACAGTGGCAGGATGGGGCAGTATAGTGGCAGGCTGGGGCAGTATAGTGGCAGGCTGGAGCAGTACAGTGGTAGGTTAGAGCAGTATTGTAGCAGGCTGGGCCAGTACAGTGGCAGTATAGTGGCAGGCTGGGGCAGCACAGTGGCAGTATAGCGGAAGCCTAAAGCAGTATAGTGGCAGGCTGGGGCAGTATAGTGGCAGGATGGGGCAGTATAGTGGCAGGCTAGTGCAGTACAGTGGCAGTATAGTGGCAGGCTGGGGCAGTATAGTGGCAGGCTAGGGCAGTACAGTGGCAGGATGGGGCAGTATAGTGGCAGGCTAGGGCAGTACAGTGGCAGGATGGGGCAGTATAGTGGCAGGCTAGGGCAGTACAGTGGCAGGATGGGGCAGTATAGCGGCAGCCTAAAGCAGTAGTGGCAGGCTAGGGCAGAATAGTGGCAGGATGGGGCAGTATAGTGGCAGGCTAGTGCAGTACAGTGGCAGGCTAGGGCAGTACAGTGGCAGTATAGTGGCAGGATGAGGCAGTATAGTGGCAGGCTAGGGCAGTACAGTGGCAGGCTGGGGCAGTATAGTGGCAGGCTAGGGCAGTACAGTGGCAGGATGGGGCAGTATAGTGGCAGGCTAGGGCAGTACAGTGGCAGGATGGGGCAGTATAGTGGCAGGCTGGGGCAGCACAGTGGCAGTATAGCGGTAGCCTATAGTGCCATCCACTACTATAGACTTGGGTGCAAACAAACTACAGAAGGGTGGGGACAAGACCAGTGACCCCGAAGAAGGAGAGGGAGCAGCAGTGGTTGGTCTTGCGGGAAGCTCCGGCACAGAGGAAACATTTAACACTGGATTATTGCACAGAACTGGAGGAAATACACAAAACACACTAAGATTCAGCTAAGAATACATTGTGTGATGGTTGTGTTTGGACAATATTTGCTCATTTTGGAATTCAGCTTTAAAGCTGCTAATATACATGATATTTCAGACCTGGCTGATTGATGATCCAATGTCTATAGGATCAGGCAATTAAAAATACCCTCCTATAGCATCTGCCCTCCACCCTTGTCTCTGGTGTGGCTTAGCCATGCCAAACTTTTTTCAGTAGTGGTGCTTCTGCCAGACTTATCGGAGGTAATAGGTCCATACTTGTATGCCTTTCTGCTTATCTGCATTCCTTCAGAAGCTTGATAATCTGGTTTAATAGTTAGAATACTTCCAAATATTTGGCCTTTGTATAGCAATACTGTGCCTGCTGGAGAAACCCATGGTGTGTCTGAGCACTGTAATATTTCTTTTCCCAGGTTGCTATGGATATGGTGCAGTATGATGGTGTGTCAGTCCGGAGGATACTCAATAAACAGGAGGATCTGGTCACAAAATTCAGTGTGTCATCGTTCCCAACTGGATTTTTGCTTAGTAGAAATGGATCAATCAGTAGAATCAAATTGTAAGTATCTAGGTTCCTGATTCAATACTTCTTATGTCACTGGAGGCTCAATTACATTTTCTTTGACTTCAACACACATTAAAACACCTACCATTTCAACATGCTTTTTTTGTATGTGTTTTTGATGTTTCAGTGATGCTTTGATGCAGAACCCCAGCTCATTAGTACCCCTGTTTTGCAGATCCCCAGCTCATTAGTACCCCTGTTCAGCAGATCCCCAGCTCACCAGTACCCTCATTCAGTAGATCCCTAGCTTCTTAATACTCTCATTCAGCAGATCCCCTGCTCAGTAGTACCCCCAGCTCTGCTGATGCCCCATTCAGTAGTACCCCCGCTTTGCTGATCCCCCACTCATTAGTAACCCACAGCTCTGCTGATCCTCTGGTTTGCTGATCCTGCTATCTCTCTGGTTCCTGCTTACCTACCACCATATTGCACCCATGCTGCACCACGTATGGCATTGCTAGTCTCTCCTGCTCTGGTCCCCCAGCTCTGCTGATGCTCTGCCGCTCTGTCCTCTCTCTCCGGTCTGCACTCACCTTTCGCTATATTGTTCCCTTGTTGCACACCATGTGTGCCATCTGCTAGTTGTTCTGCTCCGGTCCGGACCCAGCTCCCCTGCCTGCTGCTTCTCACTGCACACCAGATGTGACGTCTGCACCAGACACTTCCAGAAAATATACACATGAACTGCAAGTGACTGCTGATGACGTCTTTCCAGTTCGCTTGTTGGTTTCCCAGAGCATCCAGAGATAGCTCATATCTGAAATACCTCCAAAACGAAGTGAAGCTAACGCTAATCAAAGCCTCTGAAAATCTGCAAGTGCGGCTAGTGAGATTTGTCATGAACTTTTATGGAGGCTTTGGAGACGCTATGTAGCACCAAGAGTGCGAAATGGGATATCATTTTTGAAACAAACGCAACGTGTAAACAGGACAGTAAGCTTCCCATTTTATTTAGTGACAGGTGCTTTGGTTGCCATTCAGAGTGCTTTAAAAAGGTGTGTCCAATGCCACATTTTGAAGCAAGTGTAACAAACCCTAAAGGAAAATCAAGTATGGAGAAAATAATGGTGTGGCTCACAGTAAACAATCAGGAAGTCATTTTTTCAAACCTAAGACTGGAAAAATTACAGCTGGAACCCTTTGTTCTAGTTATTACAGGTTAATTGTTTGTCAGTCTACAGTAGAAGAGTGCAGAGAGAGAAACATTCATCAATACAGAGCTAACTGTCACTTTGCAATCCTTTTGTCAATTCCCCCATCTAGTGGCCATACTTAGTATTGCATAGTCATATCATAGTTACAGCATGTTCTAAGACAGGGGTACTGAATTAAAATTCACGGAGGCAGGGGTGTATTTACCACAAGGAAAACAAGGCATTTGCCTAGGGCAGCATCTTTCAGGGGGCAGCAGCATTTTTCAGGGAGGGCAGCGATGCCCCCCTAAACAAGAGATGGAAGAAGAGACACACGCAGCATGGGAACCAGGTGGGATCTGAGAGAGGCTGCGGGCAGCTTGATGGTGTATGCAGAGCCTGACTCTTGTTCCCGGGGATGTCAGGAGCTTGCAAAGGTGAGTGTTTTTTCTTTCTGGGGTGGGGTTGCCAGTGTATGGGGGGCAGTGGTAGTGCAAGACTCTCTCAGATGGGGGGGGGGGGGGGGGGGGTTGTTGGTCAGTGTCAGGGTCTCTCCATGGGGGGAGTGAATTTTTGTGTTGCCTAGGGCAGCATGAAACCTAAATACACCACTGCACGGAGGACCAGTTGGTAACATTTCCTTTCTGCAGAGGTCTGAATCTAATTTCTCTTCTATTACTCAGGTCCTTCATATCACAGCCCCTAATTAATGTCCTCAGTCCCCCCTTTCCCATCACAGCACCCTGTACATTACAACTCCCTTTCACATCAGAGCTCCCCCAACATTATAGCCCCTCTTACATCACAGCCTTCCTTCACATCATAGTCCCCTTTGCAGTCACAACCCCCCACATCACAGTTCCCCCCTCCTGACATCACAGACCATTCATATCACAGCTCCGTCCTCTCCCATCACAGTTCCCCCCATATCACAGCTCTCCTTCTCACATCACAGCCTCCCAATGTCACAGCTCTCCTTCTCACATCACACCCCACAGTATTACAGCTCCCCCCTCTCACATCACAACTTCCCCCTAGCACAGCCCCCCATTTCACAGCTCTCTTCCTTCTCACTTCACAGCCCCCCATGTTATAGCTCTCCTTCTCACATCACACCCCCCCAGTATTACAGCTGCCCCCTCTCACATCACAACTCTCCCATATTACAGCTCCTCCCTCTCACAGCCTCCCGCTCTCTCACTTCACAGCCCCCCATATCACAGCTTCCCCCTCTCATTTCACAGCCCCCCAAATCACAGCTCCCACCTCTAACAGCCCTCCATATCACAGCTTCCCCCTCTCACAGCCCCCCATTTCACAGCCTCCCACATCAATGCTCCCCCCACATCACAGCTCACCCATATCACAGCTCCCTCCTCTCTCTGCCCCCTATATCACAGATTCCCCCTCTGACATCACAGCCCCCTCCCCCCCCCATAATCTTCCCCCTACCTTAACTCAGCATTCTGGAGGACAGGAGGAATGGCTGGGTGGACTCCTGTTCTGTATGTACTCGCCTGCTGCCGCTGCTGTTGCAGTCACAGCAGGGAAGAGGGCAGGAGGAATAGAGAGAAGGACTCCTATGCTGGATGTACCGGCTTACTGTCGCTGAACTCAGAGCAGGGAGGTGGGTGGGAGGCACAGAAGGTCTCCACTGAGGGTGTGAGCTGCCTAACTCTTCTTGTTAAAAAGCGAGTGACCCACTTGTTAATATGAAAGGTTGGCTCCCCGCTCGCCCTGTAGACCTGCAGTGTCTCCTGCTCTCCTCCCTGCTCAGAGTTCAGTGGCAGCAACGGCAAGCCAGTACATTTAGAAGAGAGTCCTTCCATTCCTCCTGCCCTCTTCCCTGCTGTGACTTCAACAACAGCGGTGACATCAGCAGCAGCAGGCAAGTGCATACAGAACAGGAGTCCACCCTGCCATTCCTCCCGATTTCTAACAGCTGTAGTGGAGGAAGGAGAGGTGCCCACTCAGGCTGCTAAGTGTAGTGGCTGCTGTCCGGACATGACTGTCGCTTGGTCCATATTTGGACCGCGGTCCACCATTTAGTGACGCCTGTGCTAAAACCTTAAAGTAGAACTAAAAACAAAACCTTGTTTTTTTTATATTGGATAGAGTAAGGAAGGGTTGTAACCCCTGTGGCCCATTAGGGAAAATTTCCTTTACTTCCTGTCCCATAGCCAAAACAGGAAGTAAGAGAAAATCCCTCTAAAGTGAGGGAATCCCTGGTGGTCACCAGTGTCACCAAAACTAGTGTCCCCACTGGAAGATATCCCCGTTATTTCTGTTTTGAGGGCAACCCAAGAATTTAGGATTTTCATTTACTTTCACTTACAATGATAATGGTAAACAGGACCAATAAAGAGGGTGAATCTCCCTAATGGGGACACAAACAGCAACATAAGCGTGACAGGTGTTCTAATCTCCACTCTATTCAAAATTAAAAAATACATTTTGCTTTTAGTTCTACTTTATTTATGTAGCTTTTCTGTTGCTTTTTTTTTTTTTTTTTGCTTTAGTAGCATAGAATTAACCATGTGCTGAAAATAATGCAATTGTCAAAAGCAGATCCATTTCTTCCCATTGATTTATTAACATTTCCTGTATAGCTTAGCCCTAATATGTGCATCTGCAAAATTACTGTTTATAAAAAATGTATGCAACATATCAGAAATAGGTTTCCTGGTACACAAGTGCAGAAAACAAAAAATGTAACATCTATTGTTTTATTTCTCATAGGGCAAAGGAGGGTCGAAATGAGTACACCAGATTCATTCGTTCTCTGCCAGGGGTGAGGAAACTGAACCTTAATCTTATTGGATGGAAAGGGGTTGAGGAGAAGAATGTGACATTGAGACCTGCAAATAGGTACTTGGTTTAAAGCCCAACTCCAGGCTTTTTTTATTTTATTTTAATTACACTTTTGGAGAAAAGAATAAAAGAAATAGCTCTGGTTGCAATACTTGCCTCCTTTCTGGCGCAGTGCCTGCAGTATTTGCTTTCTGCCATAAGAGGTCCTCATTGTTCTGGATTGAGGAGTTAGGCCTTGGTCACACAGCAAAAATGGGGGTGCAGTGAGAATCCAGCAGATTCCTGTGGCTGGATGTACAGGTGCTTGTCAGGGCCATGGATAAGGGGGTACTATCAGTCCTCCTCCAGGCCAGCAGGGGGACCCAGGCAGCTGGGTGAATTGGATGTGGGCAGGGAGGGTGATTGGCACAAGGGGGGCAGTTACTGGATATGGCTCTCTGCAGCAGGTGAAACCTGGCTTCTTCTCTTCTCCCTCTTTCTGGCTTTCAGCTGCTGCAGAGAGAGTGATACAGGGGTCGATTGCAGTAATTGCCCCCTCCTTGTGCACCATACGTTTCCCCATGCTGTGTGCCCCCACTGCTCCCATTGTGCTACTGACTTCCCCTCTTCTTCTTTCCATCGGCAGTAGCAAGCACACATTTGCATCCTGCAGGATGGAGGGTAAGAGAAGGGTCCAGTAAATATGTCACATTTACCAGCCTCTTCCTTTCCTTAATGAACACAATAAGTGATCAGTACTGATCACTCACGGTGTTCGTTCATAACGGAAGCATAGTAAACTGTGTTTTGGGGGGAAAACCTGTCAGATTGGCTGTAAGGGGCGCCGTGGTTTCTAATAGCAGCGCTGGTGCTTGTAGACACTTGTAGGCTGCCTATACAAAGCAATGACAGGCTGACAGTAGTCGCAGTTGTTCTCCAGTGTTGGAATTAACAGAGCAATTACCTGCAGCTATGGACAGATGATCATCTTGCAGCTAACACTGGAGGAAAGCTGCAGCCACTGTCAGCCTGTCATTGCATTCCATACCACCCTGCATGCACAGTGTATTGATGCATAGAGAGGTAGGTTACAGGAAGCATAGGGTTCTCTTCAGGTCCTCTCTTGGAAGTGGCTGGTTTTTGCTGATGCAGAGTGGTGTTAACATGATGGTGCAAGCACCGGGTTCTGCATCATCACCACCCATTGCCGGGAGAAAGAAAACCCTGCACTTAATGTGACCAGCCTAAAAACATCATAGAAACATGGGCAGCACAGTGTCTAAATGGCTAGCACTTCCGCCTGGCAGTTCGAATCCCAGCCACAGCACCACCTGCATGGAGTTTGCATGGTCTCCCTGTGCCTGCATGGGTTTCTTCTGGGTACTCCGGTTTCCTCCCACACTCCAAAGACATGCTGGTAGGTTAATTGGATCCTGTCCAAATTGGCTCTAGTATGTGTATGTATGAATGTAAGTTAGGGACCTTAGATTATACGCCCCTTGAGGGTTAGGGACTGAATGTAGAACATATATATGTGTGTGTGTAAAACTTGACAATTTTGACAGCTTTATTAACCACTTCCAGTCCGGACACTTTTAACCCCTTCCTGCCCAGGCCAATTTTCAGTTTTCAGTGCTATCACACTTTGAATGACAATTGTGCGGTCATGCAACACTGTACCCATATGAATTTTTTAGCATTTTTTTTGAGACAGATAAAGCTTTATTTTGGTGGTATTTATTCACCACTGGGATTTTTATTTTTTTTGCTATGTAAATTAAAAAGTCCAAAAATTTTGAAAAAAAGTGTTTTTCTTATAACATTTTGCAAATAAATAGTATTTCATCATAAATCTTGCCCAAAATTTATTCCGTTATATTTGTAGTAAAAAAAAAAATAACCCAAATTAGTTTATAACCAAAAATTATAATTTTTAAACATTTTGTTTTGCGTTTTTTAAAAAATATTTTATATTATTTTTTATTTATTTATTTATTTATTTTTTTACATACTGTCACCCTAGCAGTACAGTGTCACCATGGTGACACTGTACTACTTGTGGGGGGTGATGAAGATTTTTTTTTTTACACTGATTGCTTTTACACCCATAAAGGCTGTAAAAGCAATAATTTCTCCTTCTCTCTGTTTGCATTCTTGCAGCCATTGAGAACTACTGAGTGAGCTGTGATTGGTCACAGCTTGTCACATGGTACAAGGCTGTTGTGAATAACCTTGTACCATGTGACCTCTGTGATCATTCACAGATTTCACACGTAGTAAGCAATGATGTCACAAGTGACATCTTGCTTACTACTCTGCATGTGATCACTGATTGGCAAATCAGTGATCACATGATCGGGAACTCATACAGAGGTCCCGTCCGATGATCACGGTGCTGCGTGCTCCCAGGGAGCGCGCACAAGCAGGGTGCAGGGAAGCCGTTTATAAACGGCCACCCGACCCTGCACTGCTCCAGTCTGGCCGTTTATATACAACGGCCGGATGGGAGGTGTTAATTAAGTACCTGAAATAAATGATAAATAAAGAATAGAAATATACTAAAAAAAAAAAAAATAAATTGTAAAAACATACGCATGGGGGCCTTAAGAGGTGAGGGTGCCCCTAGAACAGTGGTACTCAACCTTCCTAATGCCGCGGCCCTTTAATACAGTTCCTCATGTTGTGGTGACCCCCCCAACCATAAAATTATTTATCCAGTAATTATAATTCATGAGTGTCGTTTTACCTCCAATATTGCTGCTTTCAACACAGTAGCTGCTTTTAACAGAGTAGCTGCTTTCAACACAGCAGCTGCTTTCTACACAGTAGCTGCTCTTTACACATCGGAAGTATGTGTTTTCTGATGGTCCTAGGCGACCCCTGTGAAAGGGTTGTTCGACCCCCCAAGGGGGTCACAACCCACAGGTTGAGAACTACTGCCCTAGAAGGACATTCAGGGCAAAGTAACAGGTTGACTTTAGTGCAGGGACGGTAAGGTGCATGTACTTATCCACATATTTGCCACCATGTTCCCTTGCTGGGCACCACGGCAAAAGACCTGTGTAAGTTCCAGCCACTGAACAGAACCCACACAAGGCTAAGGACCCTTTACCCCCCATATTACATTGCTCAGACACACTGGGCTCTGCTTGATGTGGAGGCAGGAGAGAAAGTCGCATGCACCTTTATAACCAGAACTGACCCATTTGTCTCCTGCTGCAGTGTGGCTTTTGATTAAAGATGCCAATACTGTGAAGTTATAGAAGAACTTTCATGGGGAAAATACATAGACTGCAAATTCTGACCTTTTTCTGAAAACACTAATTGCCTGGTTGTCATACCAGGTGCCTAGAATCAATACTTTTTGAGCTATTTTCCTGGAATAAATATAGGGATTACACATGATTGGTTTCACACCTGTTTCTGGGTCAGTGACACAGATAGTACTCAGGCCAGAGGCAACCAGGCAACTAGCATTTTCAGAAGGAGGTCTATGTATATATCCTGAAAGATAACTTTTAAAATCACATTTCTTATTTCTTAATTTCATTAGTACAATTTTCCTTTATTCAGCAAGTTCTTTTTACTTTTTTAGTTCCAAGATCTACATGGCTGACCTGGAGTCTTGTCTCCATTATGCTTTGAGAGTTGAGATTGCTCGTTATACCACATTGGAGGGGGAGCGTCTGAAAGCTCTTCGTGGCTTTGTCAATGTACTAGCAAAGGTAAGTGGGAGCTAAGTGCACTTCAAAAGCAAGAGCAGGAATATTGTGTCTGGAAAACAATTACAGAATAGGCACAGCCATTGTATGTGTCTTAGATTGTAAGCTCCCAGGATCAGGCCCTCCTAACTCTCATGTATTAAACTTCTCCAGCACTTCCCCCATCCTCTGGAACTCTCTACCCCAATTTATCAGACTATCGCCTACTCTACTCACTTTTAGGCGATCTCTGAAAACCTATCTCTTCAGGGAAGCCTATCCTGCCCTCAGCTAATAATGGAATCTTCTATTCCTCCTACCAGTTCATCCCAGTCTTGTATTGAACTGTATTGTTGCTGTATTGTCTCCCTTTATATTGTAAAGCTCTGAGGAAAATGTTGGCGCTATATAAATCCTGTATAATAATAATAATGATTGTATGTAGATGTACACCTATTAATGTGACACCAATGATGGGGCACTATTCCTCTCACTGACACCAACGATAGGACACTATTCCTTCCAGTGACACCAAGGATGTCACACTATTCCTTCCAGTGACACCAATGATGGGGCACTATTCCTTCCAGTGACACCAAGGATGTCACATTATTCCTTCCAGTGACACCAATGATGGGGCATTATTCCTTCCACTGACACCAATGACAGGTCACTACTTCTTCCATTGACATCACCGATGGGGCACTATTCCTTCCTCTGACACCAACGATGGGGCACTATTCTTCCCACTGACACCAATGATGGGGCACTATTCCTCCCACTGATACTGGACACTAATACTCTCATTGACTATTCCCAGGCACTATTTCTTCATGTGATACCAATGATGGGGCACTATTCCTGTCACTGACACCAATGACAGGTCACTACTTCTTCCATTGACATCAACGATGGGGCACTATTCCTTCCTCTGACACCAACAATGGAGCACTATTCTTCCCACTGACACCAATGATGAGGCACTATTCCTCCCACTGATACTGGACACTAATACTCTCATTGACTATTCCCAGGCACTATTTCTTCATGTGACACCAATGATGGGGCACTATTCCTCTCACTGACACCAACAATGGGACACTATTCTTCTCACTGACACCAATGATGTGGCACTATTCTTCCCACTGACACTAATGATGGGATACTCTTCCTCCCACTGACACCAAAGATAGGGCACTCTTATTCCCACTGACACCAGTGATGGGGTGATGGGGCACTGTTTCTCCCACTGACACCAATAATGGGACACTATTCCTTCCAGTGACACCAAGGATGTCACACTATTCCTTCCACTGGCACCAATGATGGGGCACTATTCCTTCCACTGACACCAATGACAGGGCACTGCTCCTTCCATTGACATCAACAATGGGACACTATTCCTTCCACTGACACCAATGATGGGGCACTATTCCTTCCACTGACACCAATGATGGGGCACTATTCCTCCCACTGATACTAGACACTAATACTCCCATAGACTATTCCCAGGCACTATTTCTTCATGTGACACCAATGATGGGGCACTATTCCTCTCACTGACACCAACGATGGGGCACTATTCCTCCCACTGACGCTAATGGTGAGACACTATTCCTCCCACTGACATCAATGATGGGGCACTCTTCCTCCCATTGACACCAAAGATAGGGCACTGTTCTTCCCACTGGCACCAGTGATGAGGTGATGGGGCACTATTCTTCCCACTGACACCAATAATGGGACACTATTTCTTCCAGTGACACCAAGGATGTCACACTATTCCTTCCACTGACACCAATGATGGGGTTCTATTCCTTCCACTGACACCAATGATGGGGCACTATTCCTTCCACTGACACCAACGATGGAGCACTATTCCTTCCACTGACACCAGTGCTGGGGCACTATTCCTGCAATTACTAACCACAGGCATTATGTAATTTTTTTTACTCCCTCTGACTATCAAGCCTGAGGCAATGTTACTTTCACTGGCCACATTCTGGCCCCGCTAAAGTCTAAAGCACAGTAAATTTTTTGTTTAGATAGTTTGGAGACCCCTGCTCAAGAAGCTGGAAATAACTGTAGTAGACACTGCTACTCCAGTGATCTTCACTGGCTTCCTGATCCCATGCCAAGCAGCTACCCTGCTGCTTTGTGAACGTAGGTATTCAGAAAGGCATGGTTGCCAATCAGAGAATGCTTTGCATTTTCTGAATGAATGCAAAAATGTCCTTTGATTGGACAAGGTGAAGCGGCAGGGCAGTGATGTCACATGTCATCCATGTAGCTTGAGGTTTTGCTGGATAGTAGAAGCTGAGACAGCGGCTCATTTTATAACTCTAGCACTCCATGGACATGGACCTCCAGGGCTGAATCCTTGTAGAACATCCAGGAGCGGACTGACAACTCATGGGGCCCCCGGGCAATAGGGGATCATGGGGCCCCTGTGTCCTTGCCCAAACTCAAAAAAGCCTATGAAAAAGGTACCAGGGGCGTCTCATGGGGCCCTCTACTGACCTCGGGCCCTCGGGCAGTGCCCGAGTTTCCAAATGGTCAGTCCGCCCCTGAGAACATCATAACCCTACATAGCACAGTGCCTTTATACTTTATTATGTCTGTCATGATGGCTTAGTTTACTCTTCTCTATTCCTGACACAGTATTTTCCTTCCCGCCCCATGCTGCGCACTCTTCTGCATACAGTCAATGATTGGTTGGAGAAAGAGGAGGGAGAGTCACTAATGTATGAAGACTTTGCGAATGTTTTAAATAACACGTATACGGTAAGAACATGTACAAAATCTGATGATCGTAAAAAAAAAAAAAGACAATTGTTTACTTATTACCCATGGATGCTAGTAGGATGTAGTCCTTGTTCGGACAATGATTTCCCATCAGTCAAGTTTTAAATCAATTTTGTTGAGCTGAGTGGTGTTGGTGGGGCTTCCCATGGCTTGAATTTCATCCGATTCTGCAGAAATCGGACAAAATCTGATCTATCTATGGCCAGCCTAATAGTGCCAGCCTGCAGCACTGATCAGTGTATTCTGACACCGCTGTCAGCATACATTAACGCTGCAGGGAGGAGTCCTCCATCCACCTCGCTTGTGTGTGGATGGAGGAATCTTTTCAGTACTTTTCAATAAGCCTGCTAGCTGATAAAAAAAACTGAGTCATCTATGGGCAGCTTTGGAAGTAAGGCCAAATAGCTTGCATCAGCTGAAGCTCAGGCTACTCACAAAAATAAAATAGTGGTCTGTAGAAAATTTTCCAACAAAATCAGTTTTGTTCAGCTAGAACTTTTTGCCATTTTTGTTAAATTAACAATATTTTATGTGTGTAGTCAGTGTAGTGAACCACTAGCCAGGTTATAGACATTTATGTGCTGTATTTACTTACTGTATTTCTAGTAAGCAGTATATGAAAACTTAAAGTGTATGTAAATCTTATTAAAAAAAGTTCTATTTGCTTCCTTTTGGTATGTTAAATATACCATTAAGATCATTTTGTTATATCTGTTTTGCAAGTACAAAAAAGCTGTTTATCCACCCAGAAGACTTGTGAGCTGGCAATGTCCTGTACTCTTTTCTTCTCTGGACAGTTATCAGTCAGACTACAAAACACCACCTTCTATGTCATGGAGAGAAGGGGGTGTTATAGAGTCTTAACACACTACCTTGACAACTCTACATCTCTTAGATACAGCACAGTTGTCACCATAGGACAGGAAGTGTGTTCTTGGCAGGATAACCAGATGAAAACAAAAGAAGAAGAAAAAAAGTGTGAAACAGGAAGAAAAATTCAACCAGATTTTTTTAGAGGGCAAAATGGGCAACTGTCTTGGGCCCCCCTGACAGAAGGGGTCCTCCTCTATACAAAAAATATATATAAAAACAGCATAAACAATTATAAAAAATAATAAAACATAAATAGTGATACTATATAATAAAAAAATTATTTTCTTTTTTACATGTATTTTTCCAGCCATCATCTGTACAAGTTTTTACTCTGGACTGGAATATTGTATCATTTATAAAAAATTAATTTTGGTGTGGCGCAAGCAAACCATATATGGAGCGCTATGACTGCATGTGTTTGCATGCTGTACCTCAGAATGACATTGTGTCATGCATTTTTAAAATGTGTAACTGTTATTGAAAATGTAAACCAACTCTGTGTATAAGGGGTCCCCTCGAACCAGAAGTTCCCCAGGCGTTCCACGGTCTAAAATTTGTCTCTAAATTCAACCACTACATCTAAGAAAAGGTAAGCTGAAGGGTTAGATATGTTTTAAAACAAGTCTTTCCTGTCCTTTGTGCTGCAGGCACTGCGGAGTAAATCACGTTCAGGAAGGATTGATCCACAGTGCTTGTGGCTTAAACAGGTCAGCTAAGGCTTGTTTTAAAACTCATTTACTGGAATCATCAGTTCAACTTAGTTATAATTATAGGTATAATAAGTCTAAGGGGGAATATTTATGTAAGTGAATCTTCCTAGTGCATGGATTTTGAATTATAGGGAATGATTCTCTACCTGTTATAAAATGATTGACGAAGTGACATTCACTTTTTTTTATAAATGTATAACCTGTGTTGAACCTTTGAGGTTATTCAGCTCCTGGATAACGGTATTGGTAACATGCATTCTTTTTTGGTTTCCTATCTGTCTGTCCCAAGGTTAAGGATGCAGTTCTGACACCCATGGTGAACTATGTCTGGTGTCAGGGTTCAAAGCCTAAATATCGAGGTTTCCCATGTACAGTCTGGACGGTCTTCCACTTGCTGACAGTCCAAGCATTTGAAATGAGAAACTGCTGATTCTGGTTAGTGTTTATTTTTTTATATATTACAGGTACTTATATAGCGCTGTCAATTTATGCAGAGCTTTTTATTTATATATATATATATATATAGTACATTCATTCAGTCCCTAACCCTCAAAGGGGTGCACAATCTAAGGTCCATAACTCACATTCATACATACACATACTATGGACACATAGGGGTTTATTTACTAAAGCTGGAGAGTCCAAAATCAGACTCCCTTCTGCATAGAAACCAATCAGCTTCTAACCTCAGCTTGTTCAATGAAGCTTTGGCAATGAAACCTGGAAGCTGATTGGTTCTATGCAGAAGTGAGTCTGATTTTGGACTCTCCAGCTTTAGTAAATAAACCCCCTAGTGGCAGGGATTTGAACCAACGACCCTAGTACTCAGTTGGCGACCCGAGGCAGCTGCGGGTGACACTGACCGCACCGGGTGACACCGGACCCTCTCCACAAAAAGGTAAGTTGTAAAGCAAGCCGACGATCCCCGCAGGATGATCCGATCCATCCTGCGTGGATCGCCGGCTTGCTTTACAACTTACCTTTTCTTGGAGGGGGTCCGATGTCACCCCCCGTATAGGTTGCATGCCGACGATCCTGCGGGGGGAATCGTCGGCATGCAACCTATATGGGGTGACATCCCGGACCCGCTCCAAGAAAAGGTATGTTGTAAAGTAAGCCGACGATCCCCGCAGGATGGATCGGGTCTGCAGATTGAGCATAATGGATCGGAGGTCCAATCCATTATGCTCAATCCGCAGATCTGATCCATTCTGCGGGGATCGTCGGCTTTCTTTACAAGGGGGTGTCACCAAGTTTTAACCCGCACCGGGTGACATCAACCCTAGGGACTGCTAGTACTGGCAGGTGGAAGTGCTAACCATTTAGCCACTGTGCTGCCCTTAGCAAATATTCTGAATCTTTTGTGCTGGAAGTATTATATATATTTTAAAAAATTATTTTAAAGTTGCTGTCCAGCAGGCAGAGGTGAACCAGACTCCTCACCACATAAATAGATGCCTATTCCTTTTCAGTAGGTCACCCTTAGGGCCTGTGTCCACTGACTTTATTCTGCTTTATTCTGCTTCTGTCACCATACGAGTTTTATGGAGTACAAAAGCAGTTTGAAGCAGTTGATGCAGATCAGGGGGTCAGCTGCAAGCCAAATGCACCTGTCAATGAATTCTGAATAATCCGAGGGAGCGTTAAACGGATGTCTAAAAACAAGCTGTATTTGTTATCCAAGTCCATCGACACAGGCTATTACATTTTACAGGAGAATGATATGATGGAATTAAATTAGCAATAATTATGCAAAGCGTAGAGTTGAACTCAGACAGAACATTTTTATTGAAATATATTCTTCAATTTACTTTATTGTGTACTGTAATTGCCTTGCACTGGGTATGCCCAGAAGGCTAAATTTTGTTAACTTGCTAAACTGCAATAAAAAGAAGTAAAAAAAAAATGTGTGTGTATATATACAGTCAGGTCCCATAAATATTGGGACATCGACAACTATTCTAACATTTTTGGCTCTATACACCACCACAATGGATTTGAAATAAAACGAACAAGATGTGCTTTAACTGCAGGACTGTCAGCTTTAATTAGAGGGTATTTACATCCAAATCAAGTGAACGGTGTAGGAATTACAACAGTTTTGCATATGTGCCTCCCACTTGTTAAGGGACCAAAAGTAATGGGACAATTGGCTTCTCAGCTGTTCTATGGCCGGGTGTGTGTTAATCCCTCATTATCCCAATTACAATGAGCAGTTTTAAAAGGTCCAGAGTTCATTTCAAGTGTGCTATTTGCATTTGGAATGTTTTGCTGTCAACTCTCAAGATGAGATCCAAAGAGCTGTCACTATCAGTGAAGCAAGCCATCATTAGGCTGAAAAAACAAAACAAACCCATCAGAGAGATAGCAAAGCCATTAGGCGTGGCCAAAACAACTGTTTGGAACATTCTTAAAAAGAAGGAACGCACCGTGTGAGCTCAGCAACACCAAAAGTCCCGGAAGACCACGGAAAACAACTGTAGTGGAAGACGAAGAATTTCTTTCCCTGGTGAAGAAAACACCCTTCACAACAGTTGGCCAGATCAAGAACACTCTCCAGGAGTAGGTGTATGTGTGTCAAAGTCAACAATCAAGAGGAGACTTCACCAGAGTGAATACAGAGGGTTCACCACAAGATGTAAACCATTGGTGAGCCTCAAAAACAGGAAGGCCAGATTAGAGTTTGCCAAACGACATCTAAAAAAAAGCCTTCACAGTTCTGGAACAACATCCTATGGACAGATGAGACCAATATCAACTTGTACCAGAGTGATGGGAAGAGAAGAGTATGGAGAAGGAAAGGAACTGCTCATGATCCTAAGCATACCACCTCATCAGTGAAACATGGTGGTGGTAGTGTCATGGCGTGGGCATGTATGGCTGCCAATGGAACTGGTTCTCTTGTAATTATTGATGATGTGACTGCTGACAAAAGCAGCAGGATGAATTCTGAAGTGTTTTCGGGCAATATTATCTGCTCATATTCAGCCAAATGCTTCACAACTCATTGGACGCCGCTTCACAGTGCAGATGGACAATGACCCAAAGCATACTGCAAAAGCAACCAAAGAGTTTTTTTAAAGGAAAGAAGTGGAATGCTATCCAATGGCCAAGTCAATCACCTGACCTGAATCCGATTGAGCATGCATTTCACTTGCTGAAGACAATACTGAAGGGAAAATGCCCCAAGAACAAGCAGGAACTGAAGACAGTTGCAGTAGAGGCCTCTGATTTGGATGTAAACACCCTCAAATTAAAGCTGACAGTCTGCAGTTAAAGCACATCTTGTTCATTTCATTTCAAATCCATTGTGGTGGTGTATAGAGCCAAAAATGTTAGAATTGTGTCGATGTCCCAATATTTATGGACCTGACTGTATATATATATATACATACACATACATACACACACACACAGGTGTACCTTGGTTTGAGAACACCTCCGTTAACATAATTTTCAGTTTACGAATGAAAATCCATTGAAGATAATGCCTTGGTTTACAAAATTTTTTTTACACATTTTTTGCAATGTGAAGTGTATGTCGGTGCCAATTTTTAAATGCAATTTCCGTTTTTTTTTTCTTTACTATAGCTCACAGAATTAGCTGTCACTTTCCCTGGAGCTAAAGGATACTTTGTTTCTTTTATCTCAGGAAACAAACTAAAAGGAAACATTTGTTTCTTTTAACTGAGGAAATAAACTAAAAGGAAACTTTCTTTCTTTTAGCTGGGGGGAAAGTCACAGCTGATTCTCTGAGCTATAGTAAAAAAAAAAAACCGGTAATTACATTTAAAAACCAGCAATGACCTATAGTGACAGCGACTTTTTTTTTACTTTTTTCTGACCTCTGGATTGGATTAATTGGTACTCAATGCATTCCTATGGGAAACCGCAATACAAAATGTCCCGGAGAATTAAATTCGTAAACCGAGGAACACCTGTGTATATATGTGTGTATATATATATATATATATATATATATATATATATATATATATATATATATATATATCCACATTGGATTTATACACCTAATGTCTTTACAGACCCAGATAATGCCATCTAAAGGCAGCGGTGACATCATTGCTGTGCTCTACATAGACTATACAGAAAGCAGAGCTGTGGGGAACGTGCAGAGAGCAGGCTGCCTACATAAAATTACAGGAGGGGGGCGGATACAAGACCAGTCACCCTGCTCAAAAGAGAGAACAGTTTGTGATTAGTATTGATTAATACAGAAAGCTTTTGCCCAAAGACAAAGTTTCACCCAGGATTATTGCACAGTTCTGGAAGAAATACACACATTACACCATGGGGTCTTTTTATAAAACATTTGTTGCACGAATGTCAGAAGCATTCCTGCAAGTTGAAGGAAATGTCTCCCGAATTTTCTCAAAGAGATTATTGCCTCTATTGTCAGCTCCATCTAGTGGCCAGTAATGCAGTACTCCATTTTGGACCCTAGATGGAGATGATAGCCATCCTCTGGAGAAAAGATAATGTGTTACTTTTTATTGAAGATAATTCAAATTGGGAGATCACTGCAATTGTTTCAGGGACGGGCTTTGGGCACATGCTCATGGACTGTAGATTAATAAATAAACAATAGCCAGTGTTCAGATGGCAAGAGTCTTTAGCATGCTTTGCAAAGATTGTCCAGCTTGCCGCAAATTAAAGATCATTTGCCCAAATATCACCCAAACCATCCTCTCCGCCCCTCACATGACCTCCTGCTCTCTAGCTGCCTTGTCTCCTCCTCCCATGCTCGTCTCCAGGACTTCTTCAGAGCTTCCCCCATCCTCTGGAACTCTCTACCCCAATTTATCAGACTATCGCCTACTCTGCTCACTTTTAGGCGATCTCTGAAAACCTCTCTCTTCAGGGAAGCCTATCCTGCCCTCAGCTAATAATGGAATCTTCTATTCCTCCTACCAGTTTCATCCCAGTCTTGTATTGAACTGTATTGTTGCTGTATTGTCTCCTGTTATATTGTAAAGCGCTGAGCAAACTGTTGGCGCTATATAAATCCTGTATAATAATAATAATTTGTGTTTCCCTACAAACAATTCTTTCACTCACGATTACAAGTAATAATCTCACTATTAGAGGCACTAGGAGATAAGGAGCTGATTAGGGAGTTCATCTGAAATCCTGTTTTTGGGATATCTGTTATGTTCCATGACAAGTGTTTGGTTCATTCTTTTGTCTGGTAGTTGACTTGCCTTTCTTTTTATCACTCTACTGCTACAGATCCGCAGGAGTCACTGAAGGCAATGCGGGCATATGTCCGCTACTTTTTCGGCTGCAGGGAGTGTGCTACAGAGTTTGAGAAAATGGCCAGTGAGTCAATGAATTTCATTCGGGATCATGATGATGCCATCAGATGGTTGTGGGCAAGTCACAATCGTGTGAATAAAAGATTGGCAGGTGAGTAGCAAACAGCTCAGAGCTGATGCTTGTGGTCTCCCTGTAGTGTCAGTAACCATTCTTTGACCTGCACTAGGAATTAGAATTTGATCTATGTTTGCTTCAAAATATTTTATTTATGTATGTCAGGTACTTATATAGTGCTGTCAATTTACACACACTGCTTTACATATATATTGTACATTCACATCAGTCCCTAACCCTCACAGAGCATACAATCTAAGGTCCCTAACTCACATTCATACATACACATACTAGGGCCAATTTAGACAGGATCCAATTAACCTACCAGCATGTCTTTGGAGTGTGGGAGGAAACCAGAGTACCCGGAGGAAACAGGGAGAACATGCAAACTCCAGGCAGGTGGTGCCATGGTTGGGATTTGAGCCAGTGACTCTAGTATTGCCAGGCAGAAAAATACTATTTAGCCACTGTGCTGCCCAACAAGTCAGCTTTAAAGCAGGACCTCAGGTAAACAACTACTCACCTGGTCGAAATGCATTTATATTTTATGAGCTGTTTTAGAGCCAAAGAATGTCTACGTCTGTTTGGCTGGTCTGATTTGCAAACCCCTGTAGCCCCCCAGCCAGACATGCGACACTACCATTTTCTATTTCAGCCTGTTTCATCTCCTTGCTCATTGTAATCAGCACTATGATGATGGTACTTTATTTTCAAAAAGTTGGTAGGTATTACAGGAAACTGAAACAGAAAATATTGGAGTATGCAGTGTGATAGAGTTGTGCAAATCATAGCACTGTGCAGGGGCGGACTGACCATTTGGAAACTTGGGCACTCCCCGAGGGCCCGGGGTCAGTAGGGGGCCCCATGAGATGCCCCTGGTACCTTTTTCATTAGGCTTTTTTGAGTTTGGGCAAGGACACAGGGCCCCATGATCCCCTATTGCCCGGGGGCCCCATGAGTTGTCAGTCCGCCCCTGGGACTGTGTGAACAGAATTACAAATCTTTTGGTAGTTGAAACAGCTCATATATGTGTATTGTATTCCTGAAATTCCTCAGCATGATGCACCATGATAAGGATACCTAATAATTCGTATCCCCATTAACAGATAACAGTGAACATTTTATATGGTTGCTAGATGTCAAACCCTATTTACCTTCGGTTCGGTACTGTTAACCTTTCGTCCCCAAAATGATTAGAAACCAATCAAAGTGGTTCCCATTATATGCGGCATTATGTCAACTATACAGTAACATAGTAATCAGATCCAAGTTGAAGGTTACATTCTGTAAAAAAATTACTTAGCTTGCAGAAGCCAGTGCAATTTGTAGATTTGGTGTGTCTCTGCCTAACACTATTTCTTTAATACAATTACAGTATTAAAAAAAAAAAAATAAATAAATATAATTAAAATTTTATATATATATATATATATATATATATATATATATATATATATATATATATTTATATTTATATTTAATATAATTAATGAATTTCAATGTGTTCTGATTTGAAGAAGCCCATTAACATAATAGCCTGAAACTGCTTGTTGAACACTATGATATATGGCTTTGTCCATTTTTGTGGATCACCCTTTTGTATGGTGATTTTTCAAGAATAAAATTTTTTTATGTGCATAATCCAATTTTTTAATATATATATATATATGGCCTTTGGGAGGTCCTGATTGCTATGCACTGTGATTGATCATCATTGTGCGCTCCACCCACATTACTGATATATAAATATATATATATATATATATATATATATATATACTTTTTTATTTTTTTTTCCTCACTTGTCAACTGACCTATACCAATGCTGCTAGATTTGACCTAGGCATCAAGGCTATAGCATCCTCTGTGCAAAAAAAAAAGATTTCACAAATTCAGATACTTGTCTGGCATTATGCATATTATTTGGAAATCAAACAAAACTTACATTTCTGCTCATATGAATTCTATTTGAGCAACTGATGTATGTCACAAAATTTTGCATTATTGAGCCCCCATTGACACCTGAGCTGAGCGTTTTTCTGGCGATATTGAAGCATTTTTTTCATGCTTTCATATATATAAACTCATGTCCTGTGCTGGGGGAGAGCTTTATGGAAGGCTGAAGGAGTACTTAAACTAGGATCGAGAGGAGAGGGTGAATAAAAATCGGGCACAGATGTCAGACAGGGGTCAGTCCCTAATGATGGATGGAACGGGGACGATGGGGGGAGGGCTATAGCAGATGACAACCAGATTCACAGGTGGCAAGAAAATTCCCAGGCTACAAACCACCTTTGGAAATTATAGTAGTATTTGTGCTACAAAAAATATGCAAAACACAAAATAGGTGAGTTGGAAGCTTTGGTGCATGAAGAGAACTATGATTTAATTGGTATTGATGAATCTTGGCTTCATTTTGCACACAACTGGGCTATTAATATTCCTGGCTATGCTCTTTACGTGAGAAGTAAACTCAAAACGAGTGTTAAAGAGAAAGTTCTTAATGGAGAGTGTAATGGTTTCGAAGCATTATGGGTAAAGCTGCATAAGGGGTGTATTTACTTAAAATTAATTATCGGAGTTTGTTATAGGCCACCCAGTGTTATCGTGTTCATCAGAGTGCCCCTTAATATAAATGTGCCCATCAGAGTGCCCCTTAATATAAATGTGCCCATCAGAGTGCCCCTTAACATAAAATGTGCCCATCAGCATGCCCCTTATTTATGTTAAGGGGCACTCTGATGGGCACATACTGTGGAAAGGGACACTCTGATGGGCACATTTTATGTTAAGGAGAACTCTGATGGGCACATTTTATGTTAAGGGACACTCTGATGGGCACATTTTATGTTAAGTGGCACTCTGATGGGCACATACTGTGGAAAGGGGCACTCTGATGGGCACATTTTATGTTAACGCACTCTGATGGGCACATGTGATGGAAAGGGGCACTCTGATGGGCACATTTTATGTTAACGCACTCTGATGGGCACATGTAAAGTTAAGGGGGCACAAATGGGCACATATTGTGGAAAGGGGCACTCTGATGGGCACATGTGATGGAAAGGGGCAGTCTGATTGGCCTCAATGATGGAACAGGGCACTCTGATGGGGAATATGATGTAAAAGGGCACTCTGATAGGGAAATATGATGGAAAGGGGTACTTTGACTGTAAGGGGGCACTCTGATGGGAATACCTAATGTAAGTTGGCACTGTGATGGGGATACCTGATGTAAAGGGGCACTCTGATAGGGACAACTGATGTAAAGGAGTACTCTACTGGGCACACCTGATGTGATGGGAATACATGATGTAAAGTTGCACTCTGATGGCAACACCTAATGTAAGGGTGCACACTGATGGGCACACCCAATTTGGACCTTCCAGAAGAAAATTTTAGTGACGGGACCTCCTTGAAGTTTAATTCAATACCCCTGTTCTAGTAGATCATAGACGTAATAATGGCATGCCATGCCAAGCTGCAGTTTCTAAAGCGAACAAAATCCTCTCTTGTATTAAAAGAGGTATAGACTCCAGAGAGAGATATCATATTACCCCGATACAAATCATTAGTAAGACCTCATCTGGAATATGCAGTTCAGTTTTGGGCACTAGTTCATTTCACAGGATATCGGAGAACTGGAGGAAGTGCAGAAAGGGGCAACCAAACTGATAAGACGCAATGGGAAGCTCAGTTATGAGGAAAGATTTGCAGAACAGGATTTATTCTCTCTTGAGAAGAGGAGATTAAAGGGGGATGTGATCAACGTGCAAATACATAAATGGTCCATATAGTGAACTTGGTGTAGAGTTATTTAATTTAAGGTCATCACAAAGGACAAGGGGGCATTCTTTACATCTGGAAGAAAAAGAGATTTATCCTCCAAATATGAAAAGGCTTATTCACAGTAGAGCTGTGAAAATGTGCAATAGACTCTCTCAAGAACAGATTTTGACCAGATCAGTAGACTGTTTTAAAAAAGGCCTGGATTTGTTCCTAGTTACACAAAATATAACTGAATACTAATATTTATGGGTGTTAACACCAGGAGTAGTTTATCCAGGGAATATCCAGTTGGGAAATCAAGAGGGAATTTCCCCCGCTGGAGCAAAATGGATCCTGCTTTAATGATTTATTTGCCTTCTATTTGGAGCTTTCCTATTTATGTGCTTTTTTTTTTTTCCCTATTGGTGTCAGGAATGGACTTGCCAATAGTGGTGAGACTCACCTGCTTTGTGGGCTGCAGTACCAGGGCTGGCCAGCGGGTGCTCTCAACAACCAGAGGTTCACTTCGGCAATTAGCCATCACCTGGGGCTGATTGCAGGTGGTGTATTTAAGGGATGGCCAGACCTGCAGTCTGTGCCTTGGGTGTGTGTTTTTCCATGGGCCCCTGTATCTTATAACCTGCATTCCTGTTCCTGTTTCTGCCTGACTTGTTGCCGACCCTGCCTGATCCTGACCTCTGCTGACTTCTCCTGTTTGATCCCTGGCTTGTGACCCTGACCATTCTCTCCGCCTGCTCCTCCTGTACCTACCTGCCCGATAGTTATCGACCCGGCCTGCCTGACTACGTTGTGCTCTATATGTGTATGTACCTGTGTATCTATATCAGTTTAGGTTTGGGTTTGTTTCACCTTGTAGGTATTTGTGTTAGCTTGGGGTTTGGTGCACTGCGTTTATATTTGTATTGTTAGTCTCAATAAATTATATTATTTACTATATCTGAAGCCTACGTTTCCCTGTGTCAGTCCACACACTTCTGGTCACACCCGCATCCCTGACAATTGGTTGAACTCAATGGAGTAGTCAACTGAACTAATTATGTAACCATATTACTGAAAAGTTTTGCAAGAGTTTTTGCACATGTATGCAAGCTTAAGCATTTTTCTTTGGGCAAATGGACAGCAGTAAATCTGTGACATCATACATAGGCATTTTCCTGCATCTCCTTCTTGGATTGTGGTGTAGTGTTGTCTTGCTGTGTGACAGAGTCTGACTCTCAATCTGGGTACACCTGCTTCCATTGTCCTTCCAGGACCTCTTAAATCTGGCAACGCACATATACAGGTGCTTCCAAGTAAATAAGGCAAAAAATCCACAATAAAGCTCATGTGCCTTTTTGAGCTTCAAGCAACTGAGTGTAGAGATGTGAACTGTGTGTGGGAGTTTTATGTTGTAGTAACTAAACATGTTTTTCTTTTCCTAGGAAATAAACAAGAAGACCCAGAGTTCCCAAAGACCCAATGGCCATCCAAAGACCTTTGTCCAAAGTGCCGGAAGAAACTCCTGACTAAAGAAATTTGGGATGGTCCAAATGTTCTTAGTTTCATGAAACAGCGATTTTCTAAGAGTAACATATCCTTTGAGTATTTGGAAGATGAGAAGGAGTTATTGAAAAAGCTGAGAGAACCAACAAGCACAACAAGAGAGAAGAGGGAAACAAAAGATTTGAAAGAACAAGACATACCAAGCAGAAATGATAATATCGTACCTCCAGCTAAAGCTGAAGACGAAGGAAATGCCGACTCACTTCAGACAACCAAAGCAAAGCAGATCCTACGTCACAGGCCTACCATTATAAAAATGAAGACCAACACAGCTCTGCAAAGAGATGGAGAGGAGAAGATTTTGGACTTAGATGCCTATGAAAATCATTATTTCCAAGTTAGAACTTTGCAGGACTCCGACTCAAAGCTCCATAAGCGTGCTATTCACCCAAAGACATTGCTGGATCCCAGTGATGCTGAGTTTAATGAGGAAGCAGTACGGGAAAGATTGCTCAAGAGGGGGATTGACACAAAATATCTTCTCGGGGTTATGGTAAAGGAAGGGGACAGTAACTGGAAAGGACAATGGGTGAAGATGCTGGAAGTTGGGTTTTCCCGTTTAGACATCAGTTTGTGTATTATTCTTTATTTCCTCACCAGCATGGGCCTCCTAGCCATGTATTTGTACCTTAACATCAGATCACGCTTTTTCCGTCAACGGTGCAGATATCCTCAACCGTAACTTAAATACTACCGTGCATTAACTTGGGTGGCAGACTTGTGGTCTGTCATATTACAGATGGACTGTATATTTTCTAAAGTGAAAAATACCTGTTTTAACCTGTGGAAGTTCTGTGCTAGCCTAAGACAATCAGTAAAGACCAAAACTAAATGCACTGAAGTTGTCCTGTACTGACTGATGTGTTGCCAAATAAAATAAACCCAATAAAAATAAGTTTCTATAACAAAGGCGGATGTGTGGCTTATGTGATACTTTTAAAGTGATTGTAAATTCTTTTTTTGTTTAAATAACAAACATGTTATACTTACTTGCTCTGTGAACCTCCAATTTTTTGTCCCCCACTGGTTCTCCTGGCCCCTCCTCGTCTCTGAGTGCCCCTATAGTAAGTCGCATGCTATGGGGGTACTCGTACGGGCTCAATTCTGAGCAGCAGTGTCCACATCTATAGGCAAACACAGAGAGCTCAGCCCCGTCCCTGCTCCCTCATACACAGGGTTTGACTGACAGCAATGGCTCCCTCTGCGGCTACAGACGGGCACAGAGCTGGATCAAGTGAGGACACAGGTAAGTATTGGAGGGGGGTGATTTTAATACTGGAACATTTCTAACCCTAATGCAGGAATTGCATTAAGATAAAAAAATGTTTAAGCTTTGGAACCACTTTAATTAAGGAGGGTCCAAATCTAAAACTGGACATCCAAACAGCAGACTTGAATTCTGCTGTCTATAATTTATATGAATATATATTCATCAGTTGCAGAATTTGGTTGTATGAATTAACCCTAATAGAGTCCCCTGGATATCAGTGGAATTGGCTGCAGTTTGATAGGTTGCATTGGAAACTTTGGGACTTGTATGTCACTTTATCACTTGAGTGAAATGCACAAATTCTATATGTCTGTGTTTATATTTATATTTATTTTGGATGTGACAATGATTGTCACTGTGTTTGGTAAAGAGACAGAGTGACACTTTTTTTTTTAATATGAAAGGCTGAAACAGAGAAAAGTGAATATCGGTGGAGACTGGGGTCACATGTGATGGCAGGCAGGTACAGGAGAAGGAAAACTGAGAATATAGAGCATGATGGATGACAATGAGGAAATTCCATCATATTGCTGGACAGGGAGGAGTTAAAATGGGATTCTAAAAAGGTAATGTCAGAGTGGTACTGAAAAATAATCTGGACTAATCTAATATACAATGTGTGCACAATTATAAGGCAAGGGAGTATTTTGACCAAATTATAATTTTTATTCATATTGTCCAACTCCAAGCTGTATAAATATGATTGCTGATTGGATTTAAGCATATCAGGTGATGTGTATTTGTGTAATGAGGGAGGGTGTGGCCTAAGGAGATCAACACCCTATATCAAGGTGTGCATAATTATTAGCCATCTTTTTTTCTCAGGCAAAATGGGTCAAAAAAGAGATTTAACTGACTCTGAAAAGTCAAAAATTGTAAAAAGTCTTTCAGAGGGATGCAGCACTCTTGAAATTGCAAAGATATTGGGGCGTGATCACAGAACCATCAAACGTTTTGTCGTAAATAGGCAACAGGGTTGCAAGAAACATGCTGAGGAAAAAAGATGTAAATTAGCTGCCAAAGTTTTGAGAAGAATCAAACGTGAAGCTACCAGGAACGCATTATCTTCCAGTGCTGTCATATTCCAGAACTGCAACCTACCTGGAGTTACTAAACCCAGGACCCTGCATTCACTATATCTGGTCTCCCACAGTACACACAACATGGACATGCAATTATTTTAGTAAATATAAACTGCTAAATACCTTTTCTCATCAGCAGTTAGAACAGTCTTGTGAAGTCTATCAGTGTCCAGCAGAGCACTGGTTAAAGCTTGTAGGAGGAGTTTTCTTTTCTCTAGGAGGATGCAGGACCCCTGACCTCTGTCTGGACAGTGCTGATTGGCCCTGTGCTGATCACATGCACTTTCCCAAGAAAAACAAACAAACCCCCCCTAGTAATACACACCAAACTTAACATGTGCAGAGTGTTTCCATACCATGTGACTTATCAGGAGATAACGGGGACACTGGAACAAGGGGAGGATCAGAGAAGACAGGATAAAATAGCCTTTTTACACAATGCAGAGGATTTACCCCTTAGGTTCCACAGTGGGTATAACAAGCATGCTTTACTGCATTATACAGACTGATTTTACTGTTATGGGTTTAGTAACACTTTAATTGTGTGCACCTTTAGTTACTTGTAACAACCACAAGAGGGAGCCATTATTTTGTTTTAACTTTATGTGGAAAAAGTAACCGCAGCCTTCTTTTATTCTTTCCACTTTTGTTTTAACTTCACAAAAATATTTCCAATATTAGGGATAATCTATTTGCAATATATTTCTGCTGCAGTACTTCCCTGTTTAGATCTTGCTATGACCATTTCTGATTTCTCTCCATGAGCTGGTTGGTTCATCAGCACAGGAAGCCTCATACAATGATGGCATTTATACAAAATGGACTTTGGAGTATAAGTAGAGATATAGGGATTTTGACCTTCATTTGCTGAATGCTTGTTTCAAGTCTGTATGTCAGAAACATTAAATCCAAGCACAACCGGGCAACTAAAATGTTTATGACAAGGTCAGCGATGGCCATATCTATAATCCTTACATAGATATACTTTAAAGAAGAACTAAAGGCTAAACTTTTTTTTTTTGGATCAAGCAAGGGGGAGTTATAACCCCTGACATTTTTTTGCATTTAATTATAATTTAGGCTGTCTACAAACTAGACAGTCATCAAAAGACCTTTCTAACTCACTCACTGGCCATTTTATTAGATACACCTTGCTAATGCCAAGAAAATATCCCCCACACCATTACACCACCATCAGCCTGTACCACTGATACAAGGCAGGATGGCTCCATGCTTTCATGGTGTTTACACCAAATTCTGACCCTACCATCTGAATGTCGCAGCAACCAGTCTGCCCATTCTCCTCTGACATCAAGAAGGCATTTTCATCCACACAACTGCTGCTCACTGGATATTTTCTCTTTTTCGGACCATTCTCTGTAAACCCTACAGATAGTTGTGGGTGAGAATCCCAGTAGAACAGCAGTTTCTGAAATACTCAGGCTAGCCTGTCTGTCCCCGACAACCATGCCATGTTCAAAGTCACTTAAATCCACTTTCTTCCTCATTCTGATGCTTAGTTTAAACTTCAGCAAGTCATCTTCACCACGTTTAGATGCCTAAATGCATTGAGCTGCTGCCATGTGATTGGCTGATTAGCAATTTGTGTTACCAAGCAATTGAACAGGTATACAGGTGTACCTGCAGCTTTCCTGCGGGTTTGCTACACTTTGCCATAGACTTCTATTATGTCCCCTGGGTTTGGTGCACTTACAGAAAGTGCACCACACCTGCAGGATATAATGGAAGTCTATGGCAAAGCACAGCTAAACCAGGAAAGTCACAATTGTACTGTGCTGCACCGCGGTGCAGCATATCAGTCTGAAAACGGTCTTATAGGAGGCTCAGAACAGTAAGTGTTCATTAACATTTGCAGTTTGGGGGGTGGTAAAACCCCATAGTTTAGACGTGTTTTTAAATATGGGGTTTTTTACTTTAGTTGCAGTGGTCAGTGGTGTACACATGTCGCAGCCGCAGCAGAAGTTATATGCCCTGTCATGGTCGGTGGGTGTAGAACCTGCCAGGCAGGACCTATTCAAGTAACCAGCAAACACAAATGCTCCTGCGCTTGTGGATGGATTTGATGCAGGCTACAACCATATTAAGAATGTCCTGGAACATGCACACCTTGCTGCCCTCAATGGACCGGTAAAATCCAAATATACTGAATGGGCTCTGAGGAAGAGGCAAGTCCTCGAAATGCGTCAGCCTATTGGATGTCTACATTCCCTATTGTGGACTGTTACTCAGTGCGGTGCTGACCCAGCTGTTCTTTATGATGTGCCATAACTTTATTGTCGTTTGTGAGTACAAAACCTATTTTATTTCGTATTAAACATTTTTTATGGTAATGCACTAGGCCTGTGTGCCCTCTGTTTGTTCTTTCCTCATGACCTATTCAAGTGAATGAGGCCACTCTGCAAGTGCCCTGCAACCTTGTGCAGTTCAGCAAACAAAGGGTTACAGCAGGCAGTGTTGTGTTGCTTTCTCGCCACCTGCTTTAAGACCCTTGAACCCTGCAGAAGCATGCAGTTATAGGAGCTTGCTGAGTGGCCCCATTTACTTGAATGGGTCGTGATTGACAGGTGGTAGCATCCACAAAAAGCAACATGGGGTTTAATTCCTGCTGCGGCACGTGTACACCTTTACCCTCAGCAGCTAAAGGAGGTAAGTATGGGGGGGCGATAAAACGGTGACTCAACTGCGGGGATTTACAACCCCCCAACTTTACATGTGAACAAGCCCTAAGGGTGCCGCTGCCGAATGCTACACTGCTGCTCCTCTGAAAAGTGATCTGAGTGTGTTTGACAAGTGGTGAAGAGGCATTATGTAGCTTTCTCGGCACACAATTTAAACCCATGATTGCGGTGCAATGTATACGATTGCAGCATGGTAGTACGCCAATTAGGGGTTTAAATCAGGTGTGAGGAGGCAACACTGTGCACAGTGATCTTTGACATCTCCCATGTTGTTCAGGTAGATCTTCACCCCTTTAGGGTTGCCTACCTGCTCTCTACTGTCTCCTTTAGTTTTATATGGAGGATCGGGGAGAGTTAGAAACCCTATCAAGCTTGTAATGTAGGTTTACACATCGCTGAGATTCATCCCTCTATTTTTGTATTGGTTACCGTAACCATTGTCACCAAGAAGGAATATGGGGGCAAATCAAAAATGTTAGAGCTGTCCCTAGAGCAAGAGGTAAGTGGAGATCTTTCAATGAGGATACCTGTTCCACATATTGGTGTCTAAGTCAGCCTTTCTCAACCTTTACACCACACTGGAACACTTGAACTAATCTGCATGTTTTGGGGAACCTCTGCTGAGATCAAT